GTTTTCCACTTTACGACAACATTACAATTCCACTTTAAGAGCATAAAAAAAAGTGGAGAAAACCCATCGACGGAGAGTTGACTGTCGCATAATTTTCATAATTGCATTGCCACGCATCAACGGAAATTGTGCGGCGCCAACAAGTCGATGTCAATAATTGCCTGGCAGTCGATGTCCTTCGTCGGCTGCTCCTTCTCCAATCTCCGACCATCATCCGTTCACCATTCACCATTCACCATCTCCGCCCAGGCAACGTGTCGTATGCGTAACCACGCTGCATTCATTCTGCGGTCGAGCAATTTAAAAGCCACAAAAATGCATTAAAATCCGAGTGTGCGCATAAATTATTGCAGTTTCATTAACAAACATTTTCGCAGTGCTCTATGCTTGGCCATGGCCTCCACTCTATACTCGTAATTAATCCCACGCCCAACTACTCATATTAAATGTGGGCTTAACTGATTTATGGTTTAAACAATTTGCCACTTATCAAGGCGCCCAGGTGAGGTGAGGGGTGGGGAGTACGAAATGACCGGCCACAATATATCCAGGCACCCAATAAAAGTCAATGAAGTGTGCCAAATTAAGTCGGGATGCCTCGATTCCACCAGGTCTAAGTTGTTCGAATAGTTTTTGGCGAAACGAGCCACAATTTACCAGCCGAACGGGTCCACAAAGTCTGCCAAAAACGATTAATTCCAGACAGCCGGAGGTGGAAGTTCAACTTTTAGCCATCTGACCTACGCACGAAAGTTATCGCAAACTATATCGGCCATTTGTGAGTTTTTAATCGGTAAGCTGCTAACCCTTTGAAACTTTCACAATTAACACATTTGGTTTACTAACGCTGGGTGCTGGCAGCAACAAGTGCTGCTCCTTTGCTTTTTGGCAATGAACTTTACCCGCTGACTCATTGCTCGAATGCACTAAAAGAAAGAATTACTTATGGTAAGAAAGTTTAGAAAATGAAATCCTATTATGTATTTTATAAAAATCATAACGAATTAAGGAAACATCTCTCTTTTGAGAATAATTTGCCATAATAAAATATACTAGCATTTCGAGTGCACTACAGAAAATTCTTCAAGTGTGAATGATTTTCCTGGACTGTTGCTGCTGTGGTTGTTGTTGTTGCTCCTGTAATATAATAAAACGCTTATTAAATTTTGCCGCTGTTATAACAAGCTGAGCAAGCACAGCCCACAAAATTGCTGCCCTGGGTCGCCGCAGCGCCACGCTTCCGATTCGTTGTCCTCCATCTGGCTGTAGTTGGAGTTTGAGTTCTTTTGGCTCTTGGCCCTTGGCCCTCGGATACTGGGATGCTGGATGCTGCTCTATTTCTTGGCTTCATGATAATGATGCGGTTTTGTTATGGCTTTTTGTTGGCACGGGCACTGGGAAACGGCACTGCCATCATCATCGGCACCACCGCCATAGCCACCGCCTCCCCTCAATTGCGGTCTGCACCACTCAACAAGGAAAGCAGACTTTCCCACCCACATCCACATCAACATCCACACCCATTGCACAAAAACTTTTCGTGTACTGGCAAACACTTTTTCCTTACACAACCCCTGAATGCTGTTGTTATTCTTGTTGCATTTGCGGCGAGCGGGAAAAGTTGAGGATATCCATTGCTGGGGAAAATTTGTGGGGCCGTGAAAAGTCGAAAGGATAAGCATCCAAGTGGGTGTGGTTTGTATTAGCATTGTGCCAGCAATGGCAACTTGAATAATTTGCTTATTTTTGGGGTCTTCTTTATTGTTGTGGCATAATTATGTTTTAATGACACTTTAAGCGCAAATTATGACAGCTCGCAGGGGGGAGAAGTGTGATCAACTTGAAATGAGTTTGTTAACTTTTCAAAACCGAAAGCGATGGCAACTATTTGGGGGTCCTAAAGGTAATTATTTTTAGGCTCCCAACTTTTGGTGTACAAAGCCACGAAAATTAAACAAAAGTTAAGAGTGAATCAGGAGAGAGTAATGAAATATTCAAATTAAATAATAAGTTTGTCTAAGTGACTGAATTTTTGGCAGGTCGAACACTTGAAGTTCATACTTCTAAGTGCTTATTTAGTTTGAGTTTTGTAAGAAATATCTTTAAGATAATTTATTTTAATTGAAAACAAGCTTAATGATGTGCATAAAACTAGTCTAAGCTGCATAAAAACTTACTACAAATTGCCTAGAAAACCGAATTTCATGCGTATCCCGTTCATAAGACTGTCTGCCATCGGATGATAAATAAATCGCTTGCCAGCCATAAAACTCCCGTATGCCAACTTGAGTTCTACTCATTCAAACGCAACAAGACCTATATGCAAAGGGGGCCATTAAGCTCGTAAATCTAAAATTAAATGCCTAGATAAGCGGAGTACGTGAATTATGCCGTTTGGTAAGACCCGAGTTCGCACCAAACAATTTCCGAGCCGTAAAGGCGCAAAAAGCAACATACCATGCCACAAAACATTATATTAGAACTTGGCAAAAAGCAACAGGACTGCGGCAAAAACAGCTCCAATGGCTCTATTGTGCGTCCTGAACTTCGGGGCCGTTTGCCAATGCGATGCGCCGCCAAATTATAACAATTTCGCAATTTATCTGAGAGCAGCTCATAAATGGCCAAAGTCATTTGTTTAAGCGGTGCCCCACACAGACACCCAGACATATATTCGGCTTAGGATAAGCAAACTGGTGTCCTGACTCTTGTTTATGGGTGTCGGCTAATAATTCACTTAAGCTCTGTTGCATGAAATGCTTTTAAATTTAATTACAAAGCATTTTCCCCAAACACGAAACTCGGGCGTATACTTAATATCCCTGCTAAGCAGTAAAGAGCATGCGAGTAACACGGCCATGCAAGTACTTGGCAGAAATATTAATGACAAGGCAAATATGTTTGCCTGGCAATCGAGTTATGCAACTTCATTTGCCGCACGGCGATGATTTATCGGCCCAAGTGTGTACTGGGAAAAAATTTAGAACATTAATCTCAATTCAGAAATTGATAAGGTCAAGACGGAATGAGATTTTTATTAAATTAACATATAAATAAAAAGGAAATTGTATATTTTGTATTTTTGGTATAATAGTTACTTTGTGTTGATTGGCTTTTCTTTTCTAGTTTTCACAAATTCAAGGTTTATTTTCAGCTAGTTTTTTGTATAAAAAAACCAATCAAAGCTAGAATTATTTAGATATATTTAAATATTACTTTGTTTAGTTAATAAACTTATATAATATTTTAAGACTAGTTAGAGCATTTAATTCAGAATTATAAATCACCTGTCTAACTTTCTCTCTGCTCAGTGCCTCTTTGGCCTGCGGCAATGATGGAAATCGAGTTGATTCATCATTTTCGGCAATGTGAGCGGGAGCAGGAGCACCATTATGGCTTTCACCTTTCGGCTATTGGGATGTAGCTGAAAAGGCGGAAGAGCCTTCCACATTTGGCATGATATATGAAAATCATAATGCTCTTTGACAGCCGTAGTCCCCGAGAGCCTCTCACTCGCACGCATTTGTGTCTAAATAAGTGGCATCTTTCAATATGCGATGATGCTCGTTCGCTTTCCGCTTTGCCCTAGGTCAAGTATTTTTTGAAAACTTTTTAAACGCCGCCAGTTGATTTCTCTGCCGCCGTCGGCTTCAAAAGAGCGCGCATGCGCAGATATTTTGTTGACTGCAGAGCGAATCGGAGGGAAGCAACACGTGCTAGCCAATATTTTGCGAGTATTTGGGTGGGAAAAATGAAGGGTAAACAAATAAATAAACAACAACAGAATGTGTGAGCGCAAAACTGAATGACAGTTTACGCTAAAAGTCGCGTAGTAAAATACACAACAAAAAAATGAATATATGCGGCATGGTGGTGGTGGTGGTGAATATTTTGGTATGGATGGGATGGGGGTGCGGGGCCTTTTTGTTGGCATGTGTATCATGCTTTATGTAGCATAACTTTTGGCGCCAAAGTGGCATTCGTGCAGCGGACAGTCGGCGTGATTTATGATGTCACATGTCGCCGCAGAGGTGATGAAGTGCCCATTGCAGTCGGAATGCAGTAAAAGCGGACTTAAACATTCAATGGGAAGGCAGCGAAATAAATAAAAATAGAAAGCAGATGCATGATACAGAAGTTAGATTTTGTGTTTATTTTATTTCCTCACAAATGCCAGGCCAAAAAGTGGTAAATCAAATATGGATTTGTAGTCATTGCTATTGAAAAGAGAATGTACACATTTTCAGTGAAATATTTATGATACTGAACCTCTTTAACAAATTTAAGTTAGATAGTTAGTTAAAGTATTTTCAAATAAGTTCGTTATTTGGAAAAGAAATAAATGGGTTAGGTTGAGATTTGTTTTCTAAGACTGATAAGTGGGCTACTTTAATAGCTATATAAATGTTTTAATGATTATGCTTATCTTTCATTCTTTTTAATTTATATAATTTTAAAGACCAATTTCCATTGGCACTGCGTTGTTTTAAATATTCATATTTTGTAATGCCACTTTAATGAATATTTAACATGCGTTTAAATAAAATATGTAGATATCCTTGTTCCAGTCATTCACAGGAATGTCAACAACCGCAGAGCCACAACAAGTGAACTCTGGCTCTTTCTTTTATTTCTCTTATTTGACTCCTCTCTTTCCTTTTTTCCCCGAAGGATTTGGCCAGACAGATAGCAAAGAGCATTGAGGTCCTGAGAGAGAGAAGAGAAATGCCAAAGGATGCGCTGACGCTGGCGCAGCGTTGGCTGCTCGGTTGACTTCGCAATCGGCGTCGTTCGATTGTGGGCCACGAGTGGCAACAGTTGCAGTAACGGCCTTAAAAGGGGGAGGCCCTGGGCGGATGGGTGGCGGCTTGTCTAGCTATAAAGTGGGGCCGTGAGTGTGTGTGCGAAACGATTACGCTGACAGAGATAAGCCCAAGCGACAGGACGAGGGCAGCGCTGCAGCGCCGCAGAGACGTCGGCAGCAGAGGACGACTTCAGGATTCAGTCATTGCCGGCGTTTCGAACTGTTTGGACGTGTCAAGCGGACAAAATCGGGATATCGCAAATAGTTGCCAGCGGTAGTGTTTTAGTATTAGTTAAGCATCGGTTCACACAAGCACTAACACCCACACACACACACACACACACAAGTATAAACTATCCAGCGAGTGTGCGTGTGTGTTAGGCACTATTTGGGGATTTAATGGAAAAAGCATTAATGGATGCTGCCTCGGGGAATGAATGTAGTGCCAACGGTGATAGTGGCCAGTGCATGAGTGTGTGGGCGAGTGAGTGTTGGCCAAAAGGGATAAATACACAGAAAAAAGTAAAAGATTTAATCGGGAAAACTGACTGACTAAGTTATAAATAAATAAAGTCCAACCATAAAAACTAACAAATTAACATAACAAAATTCGCAGATTTTATATAAAATTTATGATATGAGAGATTATTACAGCTCAATGTATATGTTTAAAGGTCTTAAGAAATTATTTAAACACAGTAAAAATCGATTTCTTTTTAAGCACAGCGAAAGTGAAAAAACACTTTTTTAAAGATTTTCTAAAATAATTAAACTTTTACTACTTTTTTAACTACCTTACTCTAATTTGGCTCTAAGACTCGTCAGTTAGAAAATTATTTTAAATCAAAGTTCATTTACTACTTTTCATACTCTATTTTTACCACTGGTTAAATAGTTTATGTTTGGCCCAAAACCAATCTCTCAGTGCATACATCAATGTTTCGGCGTCTGTGAGTTTTTAATGTGTATGTGTGCCGCTGCCTAAAACTATGCAGCGCAATTTTGGAGCTGACATTTTGTTTGCTCGCCCCTATATGTGCGTGTGTGAGTGAGTGCTGGCGGGTTAGTGGCGTTTGGTTTTATCGTGGATTTTACTGACTTCACGGGTTATTTGTCCGCACGAATGTGTTCATAAAAAATGTAACAAAAGTGGATTTTCGCTGGGCCGACTGAAACGCTTACGCTTTTGTGTGCACACGGGCTACTAACATCCTAACGGAACCGGAAACGGAAGCTGCTGGTGCATACACAACACCCACCCCCACACACGAACAAACAAACACAAAAAGGACCCCTGGCAAGTGGATAAAGTAAATTGAATAAAAGGTGAAATAATTTGAGCGCTAAGCAGGCCGAATGTTGGCTAATGGAAAAGTGTGAAAAAGGTTGGCCAAGGCTGAACCGCCAACCAAAAGAGAAGGAAAGACCGGGGGAAACACCGGCGAATATTTACGTTTGGGAGGGAAAAATGCAAATGTAGCGGTGACTTTTTGCGAAAATTTATGGAGCGGCAAATTGAATCGAATGGCCACCGAGATGTCAGCGATGACGTGCCGTGAAGCATGTGCCGTGCGATTATCAAAGTGTGATAAAAGTGCGGCAACAATGGCCAAAAGAAAAAACCAAAAAAAAAAAATGGAAGAGAAATGGTGGAAAGAATCCAGAAACCAGAATCGCTGCCCAGTCACAAGTCCATAAAAATTTACCGTCTATGCACTGCGTATAATTTATGGCCGCGATTCGTTTTCTCCTCTCTCCAACGCCTTTCTTTTCCATTTTTTTTCTTTATTTTGTGGAAACCGACCACCTTTTGGCAATTGTTGAATGCAGCCGCAAAATATGCCATGAAGGTTTTTTTTTGGTCCGCCATCTAGCATATGTAAGCTGCCAGACATATGTGTTAGTGTTCCGGGCAAGCTGCCAAAAATAATAAAATCACAATCCTATGCCAGACGACTTCATATAAGCAAGGGTGATCCTGTGGCCAGGACGGAGGATTTCGAAACTGCAAGATAACGAGGTAATTTCACTGAATGATTCGCCATTTTCGGCGCTTGTTTGTTGCTTAGTCTAAGCAAATTGAGTTGCCCGCTTGGCCAACAAAAATTGGTTAGCTATTCGGGCTCTGTTTTTGCTGTGTTGCCTTCTTTCATTTTTGGTTTTTGCTTCTGGCATCCAAGCAAGCTGTTGAATTATGCATTGCCCGGAGATAAGCTGGAAATGTTGCACAAGGCTGCCAATTTCTGTTCGACTGGCCATCGGTGAGTTTGGGTGTTTCTGTGTGTGCGGGGTGTCCATTAAATTTTAATCTCAGGAAATATTTGTATGCAACGGGTGCGACTGTGGGAGCCAATCTTGAAGAGTTATCCCGAGATAGCGAGTGCACAAAGGAAAAGGAATGTGGTCAAGGGAAAAATTTACATTTTATTGGAAATTCTATTCGATTCGGTTGAGTTTCACAAAAAAAAAAAAGATGAAACCCCACCTTTTCTCTTCATTCTCCTGAGTGCTACTGCACTTTGCTATTCTGTTTGAAAACATTTTGGGTTTGGGAACATTTCTGAAATTTTGTAGTCATTCAAAATGAATGAATGGATTGCAGACTTAAACATAACTTTTTCTATTCGCCTGCTAGTTAAGTTTGCTGAAGACTCCGAAATTTTATCTTTAAGGTAGAAACGCGATTTTCACTTTTAATCCAGTCCACTGAACTTCCTATAGACGACATAATCGTCGCTGTCATTACAGATGCATTTAGCGGTCTCATTACGTTTTTATGTCTTGCACATTCAAGCTAAATTACTTCCTCATTTGACACCTCCAACTGCTATCAAGCGGAAAATTTTAAAGAGTTGTGAGCAGAGTTCGCTGGCAGCGGTTGTACCAATTAAATTTATTTGTTGGACGAACCAGCGATGTCACCGCCATGGCCAACGTCCTCGCAATACACTCAAGTCAACTTTATTCATAATAGCAACAAGAACCCCATGCAGCACGACAGTAAAAACAGTACAGAAAGAGAAAATCTTGAATTAAAGAAATTATAACTAAAAATGTAATGTTTTGAATAAATCTTTAAAAACTAAATAATAAAAATAAAATTATTCCTAGATCCGATTAACTCATAGCTAGGAAATACATAAAGGATATATATATGTGGTAATCAGTATATAAATATTCTTTAAAAATATCAACAATTTTGAACTGTGCAACAACAGCGACTAAACAAAGGCACTCGAAAACGCCAGAGGGCCAAGAACAAAGATAGAGCGGCAGCCCAGCAAGCTCGGGGGTCTGTCAATGTGACAATGCAGCATCGCTGTACCGTTGGCTCTGGAACCCTCACAGATATGTATATATGTATCTGCAGAATCCGGATCCCAGAGGGACGGTTGCAACGAACGCCGAACGAACAATAGAAAGTTGCCATGGCAGAAAAAATATGCGCGCCCATTACATTTTGTTGCCGTGCCTCATTTTTCTTGTTGCCCTTCTAGACAACCGCTGTTGTGCCCGAATTGATGTTATATAAAAGGTGGCCAAACATTTGTTGGGACACGCGATATCGGGGGCGGGTGGCGGGTGGCGGTGGGCAATATGAATGGGTCGGGCAGGACGAAATGTTATTAGGTGGCTCGTCGCCTTTGCATATCCGGTGGCCCATCCTCAATACCTAAGCCCAAGGACAGTGAAAGAAATATTTTATGGAGAAAAATGTTAATTTTAATTTTGATTTATATTTTTGTTTGTGGAAGTAACAACATTATTTTAAGGAATAACAAAAAAATTAAATTTAAACAATAAAAAATATATAAAAAAAAGTATTACCAGCCACTAATCAAAGTTTTACAATAATTAAATTAATCTTATGCATAATTTTTTTATTTATAAATATTAAAAAAATACTTAATAAATGAAATTAATTCCCTTAAAAAGGATTCTACTTATTAAATATTTAAAATCGATCTCCTTTTCTCCCTTTCTTATTCAGAGTGTAGTCTTAGCCTCATTTCAGTTCGGTTCATCCTGAACTATTGTCCAGGTCGGGAGTACATTGTTCCAGTGTCCGTTTTGTTTCCCAGCCGTACTCATAGTCCCAGTCCTAGTCCTAGTATAGCAAAAGCTATAGCTCTGGCCATTTACTAGTACCGTGGTCCGCGACGGATGCTCTTTGACTTGCGGCCTCAGCCATTGTTGGCTACAACCAAAGAGTTGCACTTCAGTCTCGGCGAGTACAAATGGATCCATTGTTCTGGGTATTTCGCATTAGCGTTGGGATCCCGAAGTGGGTGCTGCCAACAGGAAATTGCTGGGGCTGCAAGGACCGTGCCCCGGCTTTAAGGCACCTTTAAAACAGCCGGCTGACAGGAAGTTGGGCATATAAATTGCCAAGCTGTCAACCAGCGCTAAACGCAAACACATCCGCCCCAAAGTGCTGCCAGTATGTACTATACTTCCATGTATATGCAACACCTTTTGCATGCAAGAACAAAAAGAAAACAAACATTGCAGGTGACGAGCATTAAAACGATTCAACAGCTCCGTCTCAAAGCAAGAAAAATTATATTGCTTAACGCCTGCACCAGCGGCTCCTCTATGCACTTCCCACTACCGACCAGCCACGACCCACTCCCACTCCTTTCACCGGATAAGGGCGTGGCAGCGGCGGATGCAGCAACGTTTAACCTCAGCCAGGACATGAGAAAGCATCACTGCTAAAAAACTTTCTCCTTCTATATAAATTTATATAACTGTCCACTACTAACCTGTGATTTAGGTACCTTTATCTAATAAATACTTCTTAATCTTAAAATATATTCAGATTTAAGCATGAATACGAATTATATCTAAAAATCTCTTCGTATAGGTAATGCTTCCCTATTTAAGAACCCATTTTTCTCTCAGTGCCTTTGGGATCAGGGGGTGATTTTCGCTCGACTGCCTCGGCAACACATGAAGGCATGACCGTGTTGCCTTTGAATTGTTGCCGTCGGTATTGCTTTTGCTGTTTGTTGTGGCGTTCCGCACTTAAAGCCTTTCACGCCACACAAATCCTGGAGTGGGGCAAAAAAAAAAAAAAACGAGGAGGTGAGAAATAAAAAATGAAAACATCCACTCGTGAGCTCAAGGTGCATGCTGAGCAAAGGACTCCCAAGGAGTATCCATTGCATTGCCCAGCTGCATCAGGGCAATGGGAGGGAAGTGGCCCGTATTCGGCGATTTCATTGTGCAAGATTGATTGCCTGCTACGAATTATTTCCACGTTGCCGGAGATGAACCTAATGTACCAAAAGGGATAAGCTTAAGAGAAGAAAAATAAGAAGCTTTTTTTTTTAATGCCTAATTGGAGAAAGAGAGAGAGGGTATTTTCAATTTCTATCTTTTTATTACCTTTTTTTTTAGATTTTATTCACTAAAATGACTTACTTTTTAAAATGATTCAGCTTATTTTATATAAACAATATAAATAGTTAGAATCTCACTGTATGCAAATGCCTGAAACAACTTTGCAATTCCAGTTTACAAAAGTTAGTTTGAAAATGTTTTATTCATTGTCAATTAGTGAAACGTTGGTAGTAACCATCAGGTCATAATAAAACCACTGAATTCCCGTAGCTGGATTATCAAAGCAAATAAACAGTTATTATAAACACCACCACACCACACTCGTACACTCATCGCACACACTAAAACAAATAAACAAGAGCGGCAAACGGCAAGCATACAGTAACAAAAAGCTTATATAATCCAGAGTGACACAACTAAAGCGGCGTCCACATATTTAGTGTCAAATTTGCTGACAGTTAGCAGTTATGACACCCGACACACAAGCCAAAGTAATCGCTTTGCGAGAGCGCAGGACGAAGGGCCCAGGATGCGGATGCGGCTTGTGTCTCCTGACAGCTGAAGCTGGCCCACCTCCGCCGGCACAAAAACAAAAAAAAATAGAAAGGATCTCCCGAAGTCAGACAGTTAGACGGGACAAAGGCGTGGAAAATAAAAACTCATTAAAAATGAAAGAGCTAACACCCACACACACGCGCAGTGTGTATTTTGCAAGGGCTCGGAGGAGTAGGATGATGCCGTCCAAGTGCTGAGCAAAGAAACGAATTGCTCGTGGCAAATCGCTCAACAAAAGACGCTCCCAGAATAAACAAATCATTTTAAATTCTCAATTAAATGCAAACAGTGGGGCCTTCGCCCATATGTGCCGTCGTCTGCCGTCTGAAAAGGTGTCAAGTTGCAAACATTAAAAGAACTCTTCAGTGTGACCCTCACCGCCTACTTTACCGCCCTCTTTCTAAGTCCTTAGCACACGACAGCCCCGAAAATACACAGAAAATTGAGATATCAGTAAAGATTTCTTAAGATCAAAGAGATGTTTGTAAGTTGACAAAAAGATACCAAAATATATTTGTAATATTTTTAAAATTATATATTTTCAATATTGATTTCAGGGTTATTAATCTCAAGTTACCTTTCGTTATTATCTTTTTATGTGTCTGTTTCTTAAATTTAGTTCTATTAGTTTATGGATTTTCGTTAGAAGCTTATTCAGGTTAAATCAGGTTCATAAAAATAATAAAGTAGCTAAACATTTGCAAACCAAACTATTTTAAAATCTCTAAAAATATTCTCTTTCAGTGTACAATCCAATGCCTGTCGATTGTGTGTAATGGGTGTCATGATGATGTTTATTTAGTCGCTAAGCTAAGTGCCCAACTGGCTAAGGAAACGAGAAAATCGAGATGGGCGGCAAAGGATTCTGGGCGGCTGTTGAACCCCTGCTCCTCGACCTCAAAACATGTTTATGTCTTCTTCATTGTATTCGGCAGGTCGGCATGGAAGGCAAGGGGAAGAACTTGGCCTGGGCCATTCCAAATAAAATTTAATGATGGCAAAAGTCATTCATTTCGTATGCTCGCTCATAAATACTCGTTAAATGTATTTGCCAAGAGCTCTACAGCAATGCAAACGCAGGATTTCTCAACATTTCCATGTGTCGGTGTGTGCGTGCGAGTGTGTATTTGGTATGGGTGTTTTCTGTATGCGAAGGTTGTTTCTGTTGAGGATATTAAGGATAGGATAGGAGCCCCCAATTCAGAGAACTCATGTTGATTTCTCGCCTCTGTCGTCGTGTGTTTTCGTGTTTCGGCATATTTATATAGCACTCTGTGTATTCTGTATTTCGAATTGTTGTAATTGTCCTTTGGATTGTTTGCAAAGCTTAGACAGAAAAGCCCCATAACCTTTACATCGAAAATGATTCAAACTTGACATTCATATATGAATGTTATAGGAAGGGTACTTAATACTGCGGCTTCAATTCATCAAATTTATAATCTAAATTGTAATAAATATGATAATGTGACATTTTATTGATTTTACGGCTTTCACTTCTTATCTGTTTTATTACTTAAAAGTAAGAAAGCATTCTAAGCATTTTAAAGTAATTAAAATATTGCGAACAATCATAATTTTAATTACTGTAATTATTTTCCACATTAAACTATTTTACAAAATCAGAAAATGTGTTTCTTTTAAACAAAAATCGATTTCAGAGCAGAAATCAACACATCAAAACGAAAATCCCTCAAAGCTTTAACCACTCACGTAACGAAAATTAAATATAAGGCAATCCTTTAGAGCGTATTTATTTTAATTTGACTTATTCCAATTTGGTAGTCCATGCCGACTTATGCAATATATAGTGTATAATTGCTGTACTAACTGGTTTTGCTTTAAAAATTCAAACTTTTACATTTTTCGGCAGCCAAACAATAGAAAGGAAAACATTTTCATAATGCATATGTAAATTAAACTGTTGACTTTCGTCTTTCTATGCATTTCAGGTGGCTGAACAGCATCAGAAACGACTGAGAACTTCCAAATAGAAACTGAAATAATAACAGCAGCAGCAGCAAGGGGCTTAAACAAAAGCCAAACATAAGCAAAGCCACAGAGAAAGAGCAGTGTATGTTCATATTGGCAAAACAAACAAGACCGGATACAAGGAGAAGCTGCTTGCAAAATAAAACCAAACGAAACTAAATTTAATTTTCTACAGGCCACACATTGAATTTTCATGCAACGAAATGAGTTTATTAGAGCCTCCTTGTCTTGCCCCGACAAAAGGTAAGTTACAAAGCCATGATACCTTGTACTCCTCTGTGTTGCTGTATGATTTTATAATCAAAAATGATTTTAATAGAATAGAATACTTCTCTCCATCAATTTGATAGCTTAAATTCAATTTCAGAAAAGTAAAGATAAGAAAGATGAAAGTAGTACCTCCAGAATTAAGATCTTACATATTTGGATTTGGTTTTTAAAACTGGTTAATACCTTCATCCCATATAGCTTATTTGGCTTATATTAGCTTATATTAGTACCTGTACTAATGGGTACGTTTAGTCGTAAAAATGTCTGGCTTCCTAAATGATAAAGTTATTGTTTATGTTGCCCCAGCTGCCGAGAAGTGCTGGCAGCCTGTAGCCTTCAGTCAGTCATAAAAGCAAACAGCAGAGACTGTATAAATATATATAAAAAAAACCTTAGTTGCAGGATGCAGTCGCTAAAGCGCTTTCCAAGTGCCTCAGCTCAGCAGTCAAGTGCTGCCTAAATGTGAGTCTGAAGCTAAATCTGAATCAAGCGTTTGCCAGCGGCTGGCGAATGAAACCGAATCCAAATTAACCGCATTTATGAGTTGCACTCGAGTTGCACAAACAAACACACACACACACACATACGGATATGTGGCAGAATGCCTGCAGCTCTGGCGGCATTAAAGTTTTAAACAAGCTGTATATATAGCGACAATGTTGGTAATTAACCTGTTACATGTTATTCCCCCCTTTTTAGCCTTGCTTTTGGGAGCGTTGCTGTTGGCGGTCCTTGCCACACCCCTTTTGGCCACAAGCGGCTTACGGGTGCCCACATTCCTGCTGGAACCAGCTCCCCGGCTGCTCTTCGGCAACGATACGGGCGCCCAGGTCACCTGCACCGCCCACGGCAGTCCGCCGCCCCTCGTCTCCTGGGTCCTTCGCGACGGATCGCTGGCCACCCAGGTGCCGGGCCTCAGGTGAGTTCCTGCGGTCTCCGCAACCATGCACTTGGGTAGTAATAAGCGGATGTGAGGCCTTCACTGGGGAAAAAGTGTCAAATTTTTCTTTTTTATTTAAAATAAATTAATTATTGGGTGCAAAAATGTATCAGCATTTGGGATTGGAAGTGTTGAAAAATGTGTTAGCATTCACAGATTAGTTCAAAAAATTAAATTTTAAATACAGAACAAGCTCTAATGCAGAAAATAATATAACCAAAATGTTTGTATTTCTATAAAATAAATTAAATATGATTAAAATATATATATCCTTAATATTATTTCTTTGCAAATATCTGAGGCTATTCCTTGGGTTGTACTTTAGAAACGTTTTAAAATGGGATATACTTTCTTTTTTGATAGAGTCGATAGAACATTGTAAAGTTCATATTTATTAATAATTCCCTTAGATTTCCTTAAAGTGTAGCTGTTATTGTTGAGATTTTGCGGCAATAAGTATGTGTCGTTTGGCTTCCTGTCGGCGGTTTCGGAAGTCACATTCTTGCGGCTTCAGTTTTGCGGGTGGCATTAAAGTTATTTCCCGAATTGCTTCGTTTTAATTGACATTGCAAAAAAGACACCGTCGCTGAAAGCTGTGAAAATCAATGTTAACAGACGAATGCCGCCAGCCCACCTCCTCAGCCACCCCGTCATATCTTCTTGTGGCCACATTTTCAATGAAAATGCTTAAAAGGCAACAGGAACAACGCTGCGGGGGAGGCAGACAAAAGACGTGCTTTTGGTTTTGTTGGCTGAAAAGGCCAAAGAAATTGCACAAAAGTAATGCAACCAAGTTGCAGACGCCGCAATACTCATGAACATGTACATTTTTGGGCAAGATAATAGCACTTAGAAGGCTTTTTTAACAAAATGAAAATAGAATTTATTTAAGCTTTGTAGTGGAATATTATAATTCCTTTTTTTTACACATGATTTAATATAATTTGAGTTTTGAATAGTTTCAGATATATCTTTAAACATCTTAAAATCTTGTTAGTAATGTATAGACTTCTCGGTGCTATTATTTTTCCCACAAGTGTGTACATTTTGCAGGGTTTTTCCCATTTTCTCCGTCTGTTAGTGACATGTGCTAGCATTTAAAATATTAAAAACGCAGTCTTCGCGGGATGACAAGTTGAATGCGAGTGTACACACGCGTTTAGCATTAATCAAAGCGAGTACATTAGTTGCTCACACAAGTAAGGCCTTAATTTGCGGTTTTTTTGTAGTTGAAATCCATTAGTTGGAGCGCACAAAAAAAAAAGAAGAGAAATTAACGCACTGCAGGTATTTGCATATAGGCAACTGTTTATTTGGTTTAGAGAGCTCTGTTAACAAATTGCCGCTGATCCGTTGTCCGGGCTCTTAAACGGATTATTATATAACGAGAGAAAATAATAAACAAATATATATATATGGCTATAACAGCAAACACATAAAACATATAAATCGTAAAAATAGCCCACTTGCTATGGCACGACCCGAAAATAAATACGGAGATAAAAATGTATAAACTCACCGCTCGCCGCTCACATATGGCAACAAATTTACTAAAAGAATTTTTATGTTTCGCAAAATGAAATGTCATTTCGAATACGTGATCTCGAACGTATACATATCCACATCCGGGGATTCCAAAAGACTATACGAGTGTATATATGTCGACGACTGTCAGTCTGGCAGAGCCCGAAAAAAAAAAAAAAAAAAAAAAAATGTACGTAGACAAAAACTCAGTTGCGATGGCAGTGCATAGAAATGAAACAAAATTTATTTTAAGCTACTAAAGAGCATGGCTGAGTTCAAGTGACGAGTATATAGGACGTGTACTTATCTACTGCACCGACGGACGGATGGATGGACGGTTGAACTGACTCCGGAAAATGGAAAACGGACAGGGTGTACACGGAGTACGAACTACGGAGTCATCTAGCTCTCTTTTTTTTTGCACTCTGCTCCGTGCCTCATGCAAACGCAATAGACGTAAACAAATTGCTGGCACTTAAACATTTTTGAAAACAGCGCTTGATGAAGTTTTCCCTTTTTCGGTTGATGTTGGTTCGCTCGTTGTCCTCGGCATCAGCATTCAGTATGCCACATCAGGACGAGCCAAGCCAGAATCCCATCTAGCTGCACGTAGAAAAATGATGATAGTTTACGATGATCGATCTTAGTCTTCAGATAAGAAATATGAGTTATTTAACTTTATTTTGTGTTTAACTATAAAATTTAATAACCTTAAAGAAAGATTAAAACATTACCGTTTTATTTTTTTCAATATCTTTTAGCTGCTTCTCTAATTTTGATTAATGATTTCTTAGTAAAAGTCTCGTTAGGCTTAAGGATTTTTAAAAATCTTACTATCTGGTGAACTGTTTTCATGAAACCTGTTTAAAATAAGACAGACAGCCTATAATATTTTTTCTAAGTGCACTCATCGTTGTCATCATAGCTTGTTAGCCCCGACTGCAACTGCAGTTGAGATGATTAGCGGCACTGAGACTGCAACTGCATTTGGAGTGCGAAGGAGGGCAGAAATGTGGAAATTCTGCGGCGGCTTGTCTGACTTATGTGATGGAAGGCTGATGTGTTTTGGGCTGATCCAGAGCCACAGAGCTAATCAAATGCATTAAAGCCCTGCGGGTGGCTTAAAGTTTGATTTGCAAAATCATGTTTGGACTCAGAAACAAGCCGCAAAACATTTGCAACCGGATGAAGGAAGAATGATTGAGCTGTGACAGAAAATTCAGACAGTATTTAATCAGAAAACAACTCAAACTGACTTTGGCAACAAAGATAGATTAAAATTGATCTAATTTGGAAAATTAAAATATTGGTTTTTACGAATGTAATTAATGCTAGGATGTATAGTGGCTTTGAGTTAGATATTTGGATTTGTTTCCAAATTATTGGAAAATATCTGTCAACATTAAAGAACTTTTCCCCAGGTTGCAAAGAGCTTAGGCCATTTCACATCATTTGAGATCAACATGCAACACTCGGCATTAAGCTTATTGCATTTTTATGTAAATTCACACTTTGTGCCCCATGTACTTGCTGCTGTAAAAGAAAATACACGCCAGCAAATGGCAGCCACTTTGCTGTCGCTTTTGTGGAGCAAATTTGTGCGCCACGTTCGCCATTCCCAAATGCAAATAAATAAATAAATATGTAGAAGAAAAACCCCGAAAGAATGTGCCCACTAAAATATTGCATTTTGCCGTTCGCCGGCGATGCTTTTGTACTTTGTTGTAACTTTCAGGAAAATATCAGGCAACGGCACCCTCCACTTCCCACCATTCCTGGCGCAATATTATCGCACGGATGTGCACGAGGCCACCTACAGATGTCGGGCAAGCAACGAGGCGGGCACTGTACTCAGTCGCAATGTTCAGGTGCAGGCAGGTGAGTGTAATGTACTATAGTTTAGCTATAGCATGGTCTTGGGCGGTGCGCCAAGTGGCTGGAAGCCCATTGGCGAGGAGTGCGAAAAGCGCTGCCTCCATTAACATTACTTACAGGAGTCGCGAGGTGAGGAGAGCAGTGCTTTCAGCTATAGATAATATAAAATATTTGCTAACTCAAGCATGAAAATATCCATAAAAGCTATATTTTTATATAGTAATTATAAATTAATTTAATTTTATTTCTTTGTTTGTGCATCTAACTGTTGAGGAAGCTTAAGATTTATTGTTATTTTAAATTGTTATCCAGAATTTCTGGCTACTAAATGTAAATATCCTGCTTTAGCTGGATATCAGCCAAGTTGGCAACACTGCCGAATCTAAGAGATAGTGGTCCACATTATGTTGACAACATTTTGAAGCTGCTCACGTTCGTTGTGCTGGCATTCTTTACGATTCTGCTTTCTGGCAGCCCTTGGGACATCACCTGGGGGCCACACTCTTTCTTTCCAACCTTCTCCACCCACAACATCTAACATTAATATCCTGTGAATCTCCTGCCAACTCTTGAGCAGTGATCGATGCGATAAACTTGGCCAGCTGCAACTTTCTCGCAGCACTGACATTAACTTAATTATTTTATGCACTCGCTGTTTACGCTGCCTGTTAATGCTTGACCTCGAAAACGGGGCACGTCGCTTGTATTTGCACAGCCGGGCCTTAAGCAAACACAATCCCCCCGAATCCCTCTCAATACCCATGCTGAGGCTCAGAGGAAAAAACCAACGTTGCATGATAGTCGCTTAAAATCTCATTCAATATTTACACTTTGCATTTTCCATGTGTATCATCTGTGTCACTCAGCCTTCCTCTCCACAATGGCGCTTCTGCCTTCGAGTATTTTGGCTGCTCTTCAACTTCCGTTTTGCATGTAATTTCAAGCAATTTCATTCATTTAAACGGCAGCCATTCTGCATTCTGTGCCCCGTTTATTGGGCCCAGTTCCATCGGGGCTGCCAGCCATGGATTGTGCTGCCCGAAAGCGTTTTATGCGCTCATCTGTATGCGCAGTTTGCGCCACCGAGCAGACAGTAGTAGCAGTTTGTTGACTTTTATTCTCCCCTGCCCCTGAACTCACAACTGCGGTCGAAATAATAGCATCAGAAGTGGCAATTTGGGATTGCTTTCACTTATACATGACTCGATATCACCATGAAATAGCTGTGGTTAGCATAAATTATATTCTTTTAATGTGTTAAATTTTATGCATCATTAATTTTTTGCTACTCACTTAATTTTCCGATTTTATTTACCGTATTATATGTTATTTGGTTTTATATTTCGTTGACTCTCGATTATCTATATATTAAAATCATGTTGGAAAAGTTAATTTTGAAAATTTAACTCATATTTTCTTTATATTTTTTAAAGTTTCTACAGATAAGCCAACTATAAATTTATAAGATAAAGGAAACATATATATATATATCTTTACCAAAGATTATACAAATTGAAATATATGATACATTCCGGTTCTATAGCCACAACCTCAACTGTGGTTCCTGTCCAGTCCTTTTCTGATTTCTGTTGCTGCTTCTGTAACGACTTCGTTTTTTCTTTTTACCCTCGCTCTTTTAGTGGTGCGTCGTCAATTCCATGTGCACGTGGAAAACACTGAAGTCTATTTGGGAAATTCGGCGTTGATTAAGTGCGCCATACCGGAATATGTGCGGCCCTATGTGCGCGTGGCCAGTTGGCATCGCGGCGAGGAGATACTGCTGCCGGATCTGTCGGATGTCGGTGAGTGTTGCCACATTTTAACAGGCGGGGGAGTTTATCGGCAGTTGAAATTTATGTTCCCACAATTCGTTTTTGTTGCTCGACCAGGCAATGAAACTGCACTTTTTGCTGCAGCAATCCGTGGGGTTTTTCGGGCAAACGGGGCGGATGACATTTATTGGCCCATGTTGCGTATACGCAGCGGGTGCCGTGTTCGTGAAGCTTTGATTTTTCCCTTGCAATTGTCATCTATGTGACCTGAGTATATTATTTCCGAACAGCGGGCCGCTATGTGGTCCTGGCCGCCTCCGGTGATCTCTATGTGCGTTCCGTGCGTTCCGAGGATGGATTGATGAAGTTCAGCTGCCTGGTGACCAATACATTGAATGGCGAACGACAGCGCAGCGATGCCGTAATGCTGCAGGTCAAAGGTAAACTTTCAGAATTCCGACAAACATGCTATGTAAAAGCATGCTAGTCTCAACTCAGTTGGTTATTTTACTGCATATTATTTCGCAATCTTAATATTCTGTACTTCCACAGAGCTCAGCAAGAATCTGGCTCCACGAACCACTCAAAAGCCAGTGATGGAGATTCACGTGGAGCGTGGCAACGATGTACATCTGCCGTGCAACATCCAGGGCAATCCATTCCCCATATTTACGTGAGTTAACCGATTTCCAGGCCGCACAGCCTGCTTTGTATTTTGCCAGGATGTGGAGGATAAGATGGGAAGGGCAGGAGTATCTGTATCCAAGTATCTACGCAGCTGGCAATAAAATAACATCACGAGGTTCCGGGTTGGAGATTATAGACAGCCCTTAAGTGCATTTGAATGTTTGCCTGGGGAGGCTGGCTTTATTGCATATTAGGGACTGATGTTTTAGTGCTAATTAGGTGACTTCATATGGACGCAACGAGGCCATGTGCTAATAGCGTAGCCAAAAAGGAAAACAAACAAATAAAAGCACAGACTGGAAAGCTAAAGCCAATCCACATGGCATTCGAGTAACTTAATCATCTTGTTTACCCACTCACTAGGTATCAGCTTTCAGAAGCCAACACTTTGCTGGTCAAACAATAAAAAGCAATTTCGTGCGAAGAAAGTTGCTCGTCCAATAGCACATATCAAGTAACCCCCTGACTTGAACTCTCGTCCTCTTCACAGATAATTAGCAAAATAAAACAGTTAGCAGGAGACGTTATAGGGTAGCATAATTTAACAGTCTGTTTCACTTAGCAGGGCTTATTAAAATTTCATGCAGTTCTAAACACTTGAAGAGCCCCTCACGAATATTTTTATAAATGTATGTATGAAGGACATATTCGCGGCAAGGACACAGACAGCTGAAAAACAAAAACACAAGACAAACATGCAAAGAGCAAAGTTCTCGGTGGGGAAACATAAATGCTGGGCCAGACGAGAAAAGTGCCTGAAATATTTCTTAAGTAGGAGGTGGAAAAAGGGGAGGGCTTTTCCCAACTGATTACTATAAGCGCTGGAGAAGGGCGATAATTTTGTTTTCAGCATAAGTTCAAGCGTGGCTGGAATAACAAACTAAGTTGCCTGGTTTTATTGATTTCGTGTGTGATTCTGTAACTGATTGAGTTTTTGTTTGCTGAAGAGTAATCTGTATTTCGAACCAATCAAGAGTTTGTGCCTGAAATAGAAAGTTTTGCTCAGCAAGTAGGTTATCAGAAACTCATTTCATTTTGTAACAAAAATAATAATTTTTTGCTTGAATTCATTTTCCAGATGCTTCCAGCACATTTTCAGTTTTACATATTAAGCAATGTAAATAATTGTATAATTTAATCCAAAAATTCTTTAAATTTTTCACATGAACTCGTTGCTTTAAGCATTTGACCTCGTTTGGGGATGCCTCAATACCTCTGCAAATACCTGAGTGAAGTAATAAAACGTAGTTTGTGTGAACAAATAAAATTAATTTTATTGATTTGAGTTTGCCAGCATGTGTGTGATACAGATACTGTTTGCAGTTTGTCGTTTGACGAGGAGCAAAACCTAAATTTAAATCAATAAAGAGTTTGTGCCTTTGGCAGAAGGCTTTGCCAACCAGCTTTACATATATATACTCTCTGATTTATAGCTGGTATCGCGTTTCCGACTCGGCAGCCCTCTATCCCATACCCTCGTCACAGCGAGTGATACTTTCGCGCACATTGCTGCTCATCAAAAATGCTGACGAACGCGATGCGGGCAAGTGGGTAAGTAACCGTCAAACTGCCAACCGCTGGCAATCTGAATTTCTCTGTATATGCAGTGCTGAGGGGTAAAGGATACAGTCGAGCTTCTAACGAGTTGAATTTTTTGTAATTTATAGTGAAATATATTTTCAAATTTAAAAACTGTCCTTCGTTAAGTTTAACAGTTCAAGATTCTCAGAAGTTTAAGCTAATTAACATGTTTTTAAAACAAAATAATTTATAATATAGTTTGACACACAGAAACTTTTTATTTTGGACAAGTTTGACAGCAAGAATACTGGGAATATGTTACACCAAGTTATAGAAATTATTTCTAAAAAGTTTAAATTTATTGGATTTATAGTTAAATATAGAAAACCCTCTTTGATGTGACACACATTTTGTACATGAAATCACAGCAGGATTATACTTTACCTCTGGATCACACTTTACTTAGAAGTTCGACTGTATTAGCACCACTCTGTAGGGGATTTCCCCACCCAAAAAAAAAAGGAATACCATCGACTACTTCTAAATGCCCACACTCTCTCGTTGCAGATTTGCCAGGCCTCGAATCAGTTTGGGGAACAGCGCATCGAGATTCGACTCAGTGTCAATTCGTATGTGTCCGTGCATATATTGCCGCAAGTTCAAATTGTCAATTCGGGCGGAACGGCAAATTTCAATTGTACGACAACGGGTTCAGCGATCGATGCCATCGACTGGCTTCACAACGGCAAACCGCTGCAGGCGAATAATGCACTCACCACCGGCAGGGATAAGTAAGTATAGTCGGAGCCCAAAAAATATACGAGTATCTGTATCTGTATATCTGGCATTGGGATAGTATGAACGAAAAAGGGAACTCCCGGTGGGTATTTTGTGAAATAGGAAAAACGAGGCAGGCAGGCAGGCAAGCAGGGAGGCGGACAGGATAGACAGGCAGACAGACAGGCATGCAACATTGTATTGCCGATTTCGATTTTTATCAGTTTCGCCAGTTGCGAAAAGCCTTCCGACCCAACCGAAAATATGAAAAAATGGAAAACAAACAACGTGAGCGGGCCAGAAACACAAAAAATCCATAGATTACACTCCGCTGTTGTTAGGGCATTTCGACTGGCGAAAATGTTTTATTGTTACTGTTATTATTATTACTATTGATGAACGTGGCCGGCAACGAGCGAGAGAGTTCTTTTTTTTCTGCATTTTTATCCTGCCGACATTCAGATTTCAGGATGAGTTCAGTTCATTTCAGTTGATTGTTTAAAAGCTTTGCCCTGTTTGGTCAGAAAACCGAAACCGAAACCGAAACTGAAATAAAAAATATTCGGTATAAGGTCAGAGAGCTCAAAGGACTTTGATTGCTGGCATTGATAATGCAGCTGCATAAATATTTGTGCACAGTTTTGTGTCGATTGGTTTTGCAATTAGTTTGGTATCTGCTCAGTTGGCCATTATTATTTTTAATCAAGGATATCTGAAACCCAACCTTAGCGGGAGCCACCCACCTAATGTATGCAAATCCCAGAGTCGCATTGCTTACCTAGGCCTCTGGGAAATCCTTTGCTTTGTGCATATTTTCGCCCGAATAGCCTGGACACATCTTGATAATTTAATGCAAATTACATGAAATCAGCATAATACGGTTGGCAGGGGCCCGGGCCAAAGCTTAACCGAAGGCAAACTAAATTCACACGCAAAATTTGTACAGCAGCAGCTGGCAAACAATCCGGCCTGCAAAAACAAACATCGCATGCTCTCTCAACGCAGATACATACATATATATATCTCAGTATATACATATATGCCTATATAGCTATATCTGCATGTGTAAATATATGTGTATGGCCAGCTGTTGGCCAAGGAAAATCGCCCAAAGGATAAGAATGCCAAATGCGAAATGGGTAATGGGAGACCGAGCGAATCAGCATTACAAATCAAGCAGAAATTTTTATGCTTATGCTAATAAAATAAATAACAAATTTCGCCTCAACGAGCCAAAGGCTACGACCGACACAAAAGCACACAAATATCCTTCGCACTTAAAGAAAACGGAATAAGATTTGTCAAAGGAATTAATCTAGGGGCAACTTTTCATCTAATTTGTAGAGCAGACAAATCGTTTCAAAATGTTTTGTTTTTTTAACCGACCTTTAACGTCTTTTTACTATTTATTCATAAGATAAATTATTTAATAATTATATTTTTCTCAGTGCACACATGTGCCTCTTTTGGTGTGAGTTTATGGCAAATTGTGGGGCCCGCTTCCTTTTTTGTGCAACGTTGTCAGTTTTCAGCAGTTGAAGTTTGCTTGCCAAGCTCGGCATTTTTAACACTTTTTCTTGTTTGCCTCCCTTTAACCCCTGTGCTAACGTTAACTCCTGTTCCCGTTGTCCCTGACAGCATACGGTTCCTGTCGAAGAGCTCGCTGCTAGTGCAAAATGTCGGACGACGGGATCGAGGCGTCTATCAGTGTCTCGTGGAAAATCAACGCGCCAGTGCCCAGGCGATGGCTGAATTGAAGTTGGGCGGTGAGTTGACATCGATGTGCATAGTTTATGAGGCAGAGTTTTAGCATTTATCAAGGGCTCTTTCCTCTCGAACCCAACATTTTCTCGTTATTTTGCAGACACTGTGCCGGAATTGATTTACACCTTCATTGAGCAGAACGTGCGTCCCGGGCCATTAATATCGCTTAAGTGCTCCGCCAGCGGCTCGCCGCCACCGCAAGTGAGTAGAACCCACTCCCAAATGCTTTATTGGCCTTATTATGCATTATTTTAACGCACAAACATGCACTGGAGGAGAAATATAGACCTTAAATTGGTCTATTAGGAATTTTATACAACAAAATGGTAGCAAAATATTTATTGCTGGGATTAGTAGATTTTTTAAGAAGGCGAAAATAAACCTTTTACTTAATAAATCCACTTCTTAAGCTTATTTTTTTTAATTTTTTGTTATATTAAAATCAAAGTTGTTCTATTTTTGTTAACATTTCTCTCAGTGTCCATACGGACAGAGTCCCTGGTTAAGACCGGAAATTATAGCCTACTTCTAGGAGGCCATTCGGTGTGCCGTTATTGATTTTTGCGGTGTCCACTTCCATCTCATTGCAGTTCGCCTGGCTGCTGGACTCGCAGCCCATCATGGACGTATCGCTGCATCATCGGTTTGCGATCGGGCAATTTGTCGATATGTCTGGCGATGTGATAAGCCATTTAAATATCTCGCACGTGCGACCCGACGACGGTGGTCTCTACAAGTGCGTGGCCAGCAACTCGATGGGCAGCGTTCTGCACTCGGCGAGGTTGAATGTTTACGGTAAGTTGATAAATTGGCCTGGAAAATCAATTACCCACACCAGGGCCGCCTTAATTGTGTCTCCCACAAATGGGTTTCTGCGTCCGTTTTGTTATCGCAAAAGCAGCCGAAAGGCGTCTTTTGTGTGCGGGCCAAACAATGCAAATCACAAAAGACGCTGACACGGGGTCGCGGATTTCTTTTTTTTTTTTCTTTTGGGATACCAAAGAAGCTACAAAATCGGCAATCGAAACAGCAGCTGATTGGAAATAATGCCAAGGCAACGAAACAAAAACATCGCGGTGAAAGGAGTGCAGGATATGGGGAAAATAACTCCGCTATTCATCGGGAAAATGCTTGGCTGAGAGTCAAAAGAAAATCTCCTGAGGCAACGACATCAACAAAAGCAACAAGAAAGCCGATGACGATGTTGCTTTCATTCCAATCATGCCGCTCGATAGAGAGCACAGGGGAACACTGAAAAAAATGTGGTTTATAACTATGTTTTTAGATTTGTTGAGCGATTGATAAAAAGACTTAAAGAAAGTAATAGAAAAAATGAGTTAAAAAACGCGTCCAATGCTTGTTAGTTTTAAGCTTTATTCAGATTTCTCAATATTATTTCTCAGTGAGCTATAGACATTGCTAACAAGTTTGAGCGTGTGAATTGCCCGGCGAATGCCGTAGTATCTGGCAAGATAATCACTGTCACATCGGTGTATAAACTGTACAAATATAAAAATGTCAACTCAACGAGCGAATGTCCTCGACTTTTTCGTTCGCTGTCTGAAAGATACTCTTGACTGCTGAGCTTTTGAGTATTGTAAGCAGTTCCGAAGGCGTAATCTTAATGTGTTAATAATGCATAAGCGAATGGATGTGTGACAGATATAAATCATACGCCCTGTATGCCGAATGATTGATGATGCAGCAAAGGCAGCTTGAGTCTCTCTGTGCGTATACTTGATATTTAAGTGGGCGTGCGTATTGATGATAAATGATGATGTTTTGAATGCTGCCCTGGAGCCAGCAAATTTCACCAGAATCGAATTGAAAATCAAATTAGGTAACTACGGCCAGGAATTGAAGATGTGGGGAAATTATGATTGAGAGAATAAAGCCATATCGAAGGGAATGGTAATGGGAATGGGGTAAATATCCAATTTGAATCGTCTATCTATAGCAGTGGTCATTCAATGGTCCTTTTGGCGCTAGTGGTTTTCCTCATTCCTTCTGAGCGATTTTTGCTGGGATAATAATGACAAAATCATTTCGATTATGAACAGCTTTAGCCACATGCCGATATACCCATGCCACGCCCACATTTACCCCACAGCCCAACTCTTACATACCCACACACACACACACACACACATGCAGATGGAAGGGCCTATTGAGGACTGATGAAGCCGCAGGCTTTGGTTCGCCTGTTTAATTATGAATATTGCAATTTATGCAATGCATTCACCCATGCAACGAGTTGCATTAGCAGCACTAAAAATGCACACACACACACACAAAGTCTTGCGGCCGCATCTGCACTTTATGCATTAACGTCGCATGTGTGCCAAACGAATATAATTGGAATTATTCAGCATTCGTACCGTATTCCCGCCTAATTGCATTTTGTAACTAATTTAATAAATTTCACAATGCCCCTAAATAAGCAGACACAGCCACCCAGAAATATCTGTGTGTGTTATCAAACAAGATGACTAGAGAATTTCTGCAATAAATATATTTAAAACAGCATTCATTTATCTCTTTTTCTAGCAATTAAATATGAAACAACTCAGAGTGTAATTTACTTATTTATAAGAACAAATTACTAATTAATTGGGATTCATTTGCATATTTCTTAATTGCTGATAAAAATCTTAGGCTTGCAGAAGCAATTATTTCAAAATTAGTCGAATGGTCACTGATATGCTCGGCTTTTAAACAATTAATATTGAAATTCATCTTAATAAGAATAATATCATTAAAATATGTGGTTTATTTTTGGTATAAATAAATATTTTTTTTATTGAATTTACAAGAAATTAAAAATGTAAACTTATATTCCAAAAGCATCTTAAGATACTTAAATCTCTTGATTAAATATATTATTCCTCTTCAAACCCCCTTGCAGGACCTCCTTATGTGAGAGCCATTGGACCGATTAAAGCCGTTGCCGGGGAGGATATAATTGTGCACTGTCCGTTTGCCGGTTATCCCGTCGAGCAAATTAGATGGGAGAAGGCGCACCAGGAATTGACAACGAGTAAGACAAATTGCTACAGGAGCGAAGGGAGAGAGTCCTGAATCCTAAGAGTCTAACACATTATTGTCCAACCACAAAACCAGGCAACCACTACGAACTGGCTTCGGTGGCCGACGGAGGGCAGCTGGTCATCAAGAATGTGGAGCCGGGTCGGGATCAAGGGATATACACGTGCATCGTGCGAAGTCGGGCTGGCGAGGAGGCTCGCAGAGACATGCAGCTGAATGTGAACAGTAAGTAGAGGGGACTGTCAGCTTCTTGCGCTGTTGTCTCCTTTTATTTTGCTCCTTTCGAGCGACATTAACGTCTGGCCGCCCCGTCGGCTAATCGCTCATCAAGGTCCGCCCGTCATCGAGCCCTTCAAGTTCCCCAAGAATCTGCAGGAAGGCGGACGGGCCCAAATCACCTGTGCGGTCTCCTCCGGCGACATGCCCATCTACTTCAGCTGGAAGAAGGACGACAGCTCCATCCCAAGCAGTTTGCAGGTAAGCCCGTCACTCCAAAGTGCAACGAAAAAGTTTCCTGTATCTTTTTGTCCTTGCTTTTCCTGCGATACCCGGTAGTTTTAGTTTGGGAGTGTTTTTTGCATTTATAAAAGTCTAAAGTTTTTGGATTTCTAAAGGGTTAAGACTAAAGCATTTGAGTGCCAGTTTTCATTAGCTGTTGTCTTTATATGGCAATCTTTTTATTCTTATTTTTTTAGTTTCATTTTTAGCTCTAAAGCTTTCTAGAAAAAGTTTATTTTTACTTTTAATTGCGTTATACATTTTTTATATTTATTATCAGAACTACAAAGTTACTTATTTTTAAGAATTTTTCTTTAAAAGTTCATTTTTAATACTAGAAAATTCTAAAAGTAATGAGTAACCAAAAGTCGGTAGACTGAATAATACCCATCTAACGTGTGTTTCTTTCAATTTACAAGATTACGGAGAAAAAGGAGGAGTTCTACTCGCTGCTGGTCTTCAAGGATATCAGTGCGAAGCACAGTGGCAAGTACACCTGCTATGCCAGCAACGCTGCTGCCAAGGTGAACTACACGGCTGAGCTGCAGGTGCGAGGTGAGTGGGTGATGGGGACCCTAGAAAGGATTCGGGACTCCGGATTCCGGATTCCAGATGGGATGGAATGCGATGCGATAGGATTGGATACTGTGTGAGTGTGTGTGTGTGTGTGTCTATCGAAGCGATGCGCTGCTGTTTCAAAATAAATCACACAGGATTTGTGCGCCGGTGGCTGCGAAGTTTGCCCTCTTTTTTTGGGGCGAGTTCTACAAAACAAAGATACACATGCACACACACACACACATAGAGGTCGAGAGTTGTTAATTTTGTTGCCGTTTTCGTTGTTCCTCTTTCCATTCCGTTCGTTACGCATTCGCCCTGTGGCCCGGTCACGTTTCAGTGGCGCCTCGCTGGAGCTACGAGCCCATGGACACGGCCATTATGCTGGGCAACACAATATCGATAAATTGTGAGGCGGAAGGATATCCGATTCCAGCTATTACCTGGTTCAAAGGGCAGGGTAAGTTTGCCAATCTCAATACCAATCCCAGCCGGTCTGGGATTTCGAAACACAGTTCATTAAAGTTCCGATGGGTTCAAGGAGGTTAAGAGGATGCTGTCCTTTATCCACTGGCCACTTGCTCTTATCAATTAACATTTCGAGACTTTGACTTGCAAGTGAATTGATGGAAAAGGAGTTTAATTTAATGAAAAGCTCAGAAGAGATTGCTAAATCGATTGTGAAATGGTGTATAAGCAATGAGGAATTTCGTCAAACTTATCGAACAAGTCCTTCCATGCGAATATTTGATATATTTCTTGTTTCTGTGTAGGCAAAGGTTCAAAGGACTTCAAGCCCTTGAGCATGCGTAATCACTCGCTGCTATTAAATCTGGCTACGGATAATGATGAGGGCTATTATATGTGCCAGGCGACCAATGAAATCGGAGCAGGACTCAAGAAGACAATCCGAATCAATGTGAATGGTAATGGAAGATAAATCCTGAAGTGAATAAAAGGTAAACTAATTAAATCCGCCCATTTAGAACCCGCTCGATTTGAGCAGTCCGCCCGGAATATCAGTTCACGTCGCAACGATCCCGTGACCTTGGACTGCCATGCCAAGGGTGACGAACCCATCACTATTGGTTGGACGCAGAACAATGGACGCATCGATCTGAATAACTTCCGGTTTAGCATAGCGGAAATGAAAACCGAGAAGGGTGTAGACTCTCAACTAACTATTGGCCATTCGGATCGTCATGATTCCGGTGTTTACCGATGTATAGCTGAGAATCCCTATGGACGAGCGGAGCAAATAATTTTCCTCGCTGTTCAGGAGCGACCAGATACGCCCTCAAATCTGGACATTTTCGAAGTGGGTTCGCGTACAGTGAAGCTTAGCTGGCGGCGACCTTTCGATGGCAACTCGCCAGTGCTCAGTTATCTGGTGCAGTATCAGGCACTAAAGTACCTTCAATCTCACGGGAGCTTGGGCGCTGCTGGAGGGGATTGGAACGGCCAGAACGTCATTAACGTCAGCCTGCCGTCGACGAGCATTAGTCGCAGGTATGTGTAGATGCTTGGCATATGTTTGTTTTCTCAGAGAAGTTTACACAGTACGAAATATGTACAAAATTAAAATTCAGTTTGATTTTTCTTTAGAAAAAATTCCAATTTATCATAGAATTTTAAGCATTAACAAAATATAATTTTTATTCCTTATGGCTTAAAAATTATCATAAATGTTAGTCAACTATTGCTTGCTGACATAAATGACGATGATTTCATTGTTAATTTTCTCATAAAAAGTTAAAGGGAAATATTATGGCACTTATAGCGACTTTTTTTCTGTACCTTGACTTTTGTTTGCCTTTTGGAACAGCTATGACAGCGACCTGCGGGAGAGCGCTATTGTGGCTGGCCTGACCCCAGCGACCACCTTCCTGATTCGCATGCAGGCCATCAACGAGATCGAGCGAAGCGCTTATACCGAGGCCATTGTACTCAAAACCCAAGAGGAGGCGCCCACCGAGGCCCCGTCCAATGTTCAGGTGCAAACGGGCGGAGAAAGCGAGCTGATTGTCACCTGGCAGGTGAGTGGCGTGACAAATAATACAGATAGCTAAAAGGCAGGTTGATATAAATTGGCTGTAAGAACTTCATTGTGTAAGTTTCTTCAAAGATGTTATTTTTGGACAGCACTTAAATCTTAATAAAATTGAACTTGAATTTTCCATTTCATTTGCAAATTTTTGTTAATGTAAAATTATTTTTTTGAATTAATTTTTCCCCGTGCACCTCCTACCTCCCAATTGCAGATTCCCCCTCGTGAATCGTGGAACGGAGAGCTCATTGGCTACACCGTAAACTGCAGCGAAGAAAAGCAAAACATAAACTTCATCAGCGTGGTGAACAACTCGCTAAAATCTACGATAGTCAGCGGATGGGCGACCACCAAGGCGACTTTAAGGGGTCTCCGGAAGTACACTCGCTATGCGGTCACCATTCGAGCAATGAACAGCTTTGGTTCCGGTCCATGGAGTGCGGCCATCTTTGGCACAACGGCAGAGGGAGGTGAGTGTTGGAGTAGCTGGCTAATGTGCCCCATTCGCAGACAGTAGATATTGCAATACGCGGCATGTGTATCTCAATCTTTTTGCAGTTCCCGAGGCAGCGCCACAGAACGTCAACTGCACCGCCCTGTCATCGCAGAGTCTGAAGATTTCGTGGCTGGAGCCACCGCTTCAGTTCCACGGCGGCATCATACAGGGCTATAAAATTTTATACCGCCCGATTGTGCATCAAAGTGAGTATATGCTGCATGAACAGATGAGGTGAAACTTATAGTTATAGATATCGGAAAAAGGATATAAAAACTTTAATTTTTAATTTTTAAATCATAAAGACTTTATCAAATTATTTTTGATTCTTTTTTAAAAGGAATTAAGATTTTAATAACTGGGAAAATGGGATTTATTTAGTAGCTAAGCCCTTTTAAATATCTAGTCCTATTATTTTAACCCCGACTGTATACCACCACTTACGACAGCTGCGTCAGTTTGCAGTTGGCACTTTATGACGCTGATTTTGTTGATATTGCCAGAGCCTGAGAGCGCTGTGCAAACAGCTATAGATATGATACGATATCCAGGCAGCAGGATGTGCCAGGATGAAGTGGTCGGACGAGAGGGTGAGAGAGTTGCTCAACTTTATTGGTTTTGGCGTAGGGTTCAATGGGTTGGCGCTGTGGCCCATTGATGAGACTGCAAGTTGTTGATTTTGGCACTGATTTTTCAAATCTCATCAAATCAATAATGCCAACTGACTCTGCATCAAACTGGGATGTTCGTTAAAATTAAGAAAGTTGCGAAAAGATTTTTGTTTCATTTTGTGGAAAAGGGATGTGGATGAAAGTAGTCATATAAGACTATGTAAACCAAAGGGCTCAAAATAGGGAGATATTTAACTTCTTCAATTCAAAAATAATTGTTACAACTGAAGAAAAGGCAACAAATTTGTGAAGCAAGTCGTGCATTCGCGAAAATTTGATTCCCTTGTGACTTTTTCTTAAAATATATACATATTTTTCCCCAGTTGACTTTCCCGCCAAGCTTGAAGTCAAGCGCACCTCGAATCTGGAGACGTACCTGCACACTTTGCACAAGGCCAGCAACTACTCAATCCGGGTGCTGGCCTACACGGCCACTGGCGACGGCATGGCAAGTCATCCGCTCTTTTGCCAGACGGACGACGACGTGCCCGATGCACCGGCAGCCATTAAGGCAGCGGCCCTGACGGCAGATTCGATTTTGATTTCCTGGCTCACGCCGAAAAATCGCAATGGGATCATTTCGCACTATACGGTTTATTCGAGAGAAGCGGGTCGCAAGGGCCAGGCCAAGAGTAAGTATCAAAGTAGTACCGCCCAACGATGGGTTGGCTCTGAAATGTATACGGCAATTTAATTTTTTTTCTTGTTGACCTGTCCAGCTCACATGGTGCGTGTCGACGAGAAGGGGTATCCGGTGATATTCGAGTCACGCAGCCTCGCCGAGAATCAAATGTACGAATTCTGGGTTTCGGCGTCCACATCCGTGGGCGAAGGCGAGCCCACATCTGTGATCGCCCAGGCCACCAATACGAGAGGTAGGTGGCAGTCAGATAAATGCAATACATGGATAAATATTTGTACGCATGCACTGAGGGAAATACGTTTGAATATTGAGTAATAACAAAATATAAATATCATGAATACTTTCCAAAACTACATTTACATATCTTCGTTTTTAAATGAGATTTTATTTTCAGAGACTGACTTATTTGTATGAAAGTAAAGTCACTTTTTCCGAGTGCACGGATACAAATAAGCCAGCAAATTGTCGCTTTAATTAAAAATTGACATTTATTCGGCGTGCTGGCAAAAAGCCGCACAAGCCGCAACATTTTAATTTCGCTCACCTAACTAAATGTCCTGCCTTTCTGCTGTTAACATTGTGTTCTGTTTTTTTCATTCTCATTTCCCCATTTTCAGCTCCTGCTCGAATTGCCTCCTTTGGTCAGGTAGTGCGCAAGGCAGTGGGCACTGGCTTGGTCCTGGAGTGCCTGGCTGTAGGAAATCCCACTCCCCGTGCCCGTTGGCTGACCCGTGATCGTCCTGTTACCTTTAGTCCATTCTACGAGGTCACCAACGAGGGAAACCTAAAGATTCACCGTAAGTTTGTTCTTAATTTGAAAAATCTGTGATTATCTCTAGAATATATCCTCATACTATAAGTTATTTTAACATTCATTCATAAAGAAAAAAAAAGAGTTAAGATGCATAATGGGATAAGATAATAAAGACTTTTTCTTCTCTTTGCTACATTTGCGAATGATTTTTCCATTTCCTTGTCTACCCTTTTTTTTCAGGCGTCGAAGGGAGTCTGTCCGGAAATTATACGTGCACAGCGAACAATCTGTTCGGTAGCGATGAGATCCAGTACCAGGTGATTGCCATGAAGCCACCGAGCGCACCGCAAATCATCGTGCAGTACGCTTCCGCCGACAGCATTCGTGTGAGCTGGGATGCCCCCGACGATGGTGGAGCTCCTTTGCAGGGATATACCATATCGTATCACACGGCCGGAGAGAGTTGGTCCATCACGGAGCTGCTGCCCGAAAATAATGCCTTCACGATCTCAGGATTGAAGTGCGGAAATCAGTACATTATAAAAATGTCCGCTCACAATATGGTCGGCTCTGGGGTGGCCAGTGAGGAAATTAACGTCTGGACCAAGGGCAAAGGTGAGTCTGACGGAACTGGGTTGCAATCCCCAGCAGTCCTGTCCTGAATTCAAATTTTGTCTGTTGACCACAAATGACACTCGGTGAAGTGGCATGCTAAAGGGTTACAGATGAGGGCAAGATTATATTTCAAAGCATTTTTAGGAAAGTTTTAGGAAAGCATTGGGTGAGGTTAGAAGTGGAAGTTGTTTATCGTTATGAGTGGTTTTAGAATGTTTTATTTGCAATGATTTAAATTTTTTAAAATTAAATGGGTCTTTAATGTACATATTTAGTTAGAGTTATATACAAAAAAAATATTTTTTTATATGTTTTAGCCAGAATAATCGATCTTTTTTTAATGCTAATATCTTGACTGTGACTGTTCGTTCCTCCTGCCATTTTATCCCCTTCATTTCGTTAACATTTTCGATTTCCATTCGCAGCCTCACAGGCGCCGAACGGCAACGAACTAATTGCCACAAATGCGACGTGCGTGAATTTGAAGCTGTCATCATGGCAAAACGGCGGCTGCAGCATCCATCATTTCTCCATCGAGCACCGACCACTGGGTGAGTGCAAATTAGCAATGAATGCATGGGCGGACATTTCGGGTTACCATTTACACCCAGTTGAGCTGGGTGCCCTAGTTCCTTGAAAAAAAAAGTATTCACAAGCCGATTATATTATATTATTCATGAAGGCATTTGACTGTTATTGAACCAGATTAATTCTAGCAGTTTTTCAATAATTTTAATACGCAAATATTACATTTATATACATTATTATGTTTTTTATTTTATGTTTATGGAATAATCTAACTGCTTTAAAATTTATACAGAAAACATTTTAATTTTTTTCAAAGCTTATTAAAATATTTAAACTACCTGATGTGTTAACTACCCAACTTTATTAAAAGCCAATTTCCTACACATTCTAATTAAATAGAAGTCTTCTTTGAAGATTACGAAACGAATCCTGATAGTTGACTCTATTCCTTTAGAACCAAAAAACCGTAAACAACTCATCAATCTTTTACCATAACAGCTTTTTCAGAAATTTTATAGCCACCTGCTGTGAGATTTTAATTAAAATTTGTAATGGGTTAATTAAGAGTATCCACGCGTCATCTTTCCGGCCTTGTGCCGCACAGTTGCTGACGTTTAATTTGCTTTAAATTAAATACAGTTAATATAATTATTTTTGTTTTCAATTAACTGACCAATCTACAGCCATTTGTATTTATAAATATTTATCAAATTTATTCCCATAGTCCGTCTGCCGCATTCAACGTGGCGTATGATGCATAATTTCCTTTTTTCCATATCTCTCTTTCCCTTTTTCCGGAATGTGTTTGTGTGTGTGCTTTTCATCGGCCATTGCCCCTTAGGCGACATACGTTGGACAGTTGTCACATCGGATATTTCGAATGCCGAGGAAAACCGTGAAAATTTAATCTTCTGCGACTTTCTGCCGGCCAAGTGGTATCAGCTGCGAATCTCCGCCACCAACGATGCGGGAAAAACGACAGAGCATTATCATTTCAGCACGACGAACATCGATGGCATCACCATTCCGCCGCCATCGGTTTTCCCCTCGGAAAACGATTTGATGAACAATCTGATAAACTCAACAAATCCGACCAGCGGTGATTGGTTCGCTACGCTAATTGTCGTCGTCATTATCACCGTTTCCATCATAACGATGTAAGTGCGTTCTGCTTTTATGCGAAAAGAGTGGGTGGTTGGGTTGCTCCCTGGGTTTTACCCCGGGAAAAGATTGAATTGAATTGGGAATTGAGGCCTGAGCAGGACGAAGTCGTTGGCCGTAATGGCTTGCGAATGTTAATTAAGGATTTATTAACTCTCTTGCTGTAAAGGCAACAAATAAAGTCTCAGCAGACAGGACAAAGAGATACCCCTTAATCCTCAAGAGGATTGTATCATGGATTTTAACGAAAATAAAGATTTTCTTTTGACTTTTATTGGATCAGATTAAGTCATTGAAGGCTTTTGTTAATAAAATAATCGTAAATTAAACTAGTTTACAAAATTAAAATGGATCTTGACACACTAGCTAAGAAGTTGACAAAGTAAAAGTTACATTCTCAACAAATTGCATCTGACTTAATGACTATCACTAAAGTTGGTTAAGCAAGTTATTCTCATCTGCGATTTCTGAGTGATTAACAGCAGCATCGTACAGGGAAAACTTTTCCTCATCTTTCAATTAAGGTCATAATAGAGCTTTATCTTTCTCTCGCTTCCCAGAGCCCTGACTATTAAACATCGACGCACCTTGTGCGGACCCATAGCAGAGGGCTACGAGTCCAGGACTCTGCCCGGGGATTACAAGGAGGACCATGAGAATCGACGCAATCAGCAGGTGTACAGTGCCTCGCCAGTGAAAACTGTAGACAAGGGAAACGAGTCGGGTAAGTCAATTGACTCCGCAATCTGCAAGTTCATAGGTGCGAAACGTGCTTCTCCTTAAATGTGGCAATTAAACCACCTGTTACACACTTAGAAATAAATATAGGTTTTGGTAAAAGAATATACAATAATTTACGAAAAATTTATCATTGTCATCTAAGAAAATCTGCTTCCTTAAATGAGAACTTTTGTAGGCTCTGCTTATATATAATCTAAAAAAGATTAAGTTAAAATTAAGTAGTTAATCCTTCTTTGAGTGTATTTTTGCCCCTTAGTTTACTGTATTATTTTCTCGACTTTTTTGCGTGATTCAACTAGAAATGTACGAGATTTCGCCGTATGCCACGTTCAGCGTGAATGGAGGACGGACAGGTGCACCGGCCAAGACACCCACTCGCGCCGTGGCTGCCCAAACGCCACTCGACTACACTATGCAGTTTAAGACCTTTGGACATCCGGAGGGCGAGAACTTGAATGCCACCGCCTATCCATTGCTGCCCAGCTCAGGATTCGGTCACGTGAAGAGCAAGTCCAGCTGGCACAAACAGCGATACTACAACACGGAGGGTAAGTTTTAACAATGATCTGTATGATGTAAATTTTTAACCATTCTTCGTAAAATTGTATGAAGTAAATGCAAAAATTGGCAATAAAATAAATTTTAAATTTTGATTAGACTGTTTTAAAAGTTTTCTTTAAATTTTGGTGATTTTTTCTATGCTTAGATGAGTCCACGCTGAGCAAGTCGATGACCATCGTAGCCGGCTCGCAGGCGGGACACTCGAAGAAGTCCAATGGCGGTCGGAGTGCCAAGAGCAGCGGCGCTTGCAGCGGAGTAGTAGCCGGCTCGGAATCGGATACAAGCATCAGTCCTAGCACCGAGTTCTCCAACATGCCCACCTACCGAGTGCCCTGCAAGTCATCGCGGAGCAGCGATGGTCGAGCGGTCGTAGGTGCGTATACTTAATAAGCATTCAATACAGATTTACTTCACTTAATATGATTTATTTATATTGTTTTTGTATAATATCTGAATCTTTCAGATATGTTCCGACCCGATTCCAGCACCGAGTCGAATAATGACCAGGGCTCGCCGGCGCCTGAGCGTCGCCATAATACTCCACGCCATGTCCTTGGTATGGGCATGGGCATGGGCTTGAACGGCGGAGGTGGTGGTGGCAGTGCCAACGGTCCGGCCGAGAAACGGAGTGCCGGACAGCGCAGCCGGAAACATGGAAGCGCAGCACAACAGCCCAGCAACCAAACGTTGGAGCGAAGAAAGTGCCCTGGTAGTAGCAACAGGTAGTTCAGGTACCTAAACCCTAACAAATCCAAATTAAATTAGCAAAAAAACAAAAAACAATCGAAAAGAGTAGATGCAAAGAAGGTGTGGCATTCATTTCGGATCTTTATAGCAAAAATCCCAAACTAAATTATTTTCTTTAATGTAAAATAAAACGGACTCCAAGTGAATGTCAAACAATCTGCAGATTAGTTTAGCTAGCAAGAAAATGATCGTATTTCAGATTCATTAAGCCAAATATCCCGATAAATCTTTAGTTTAGACAGTGAGGTCGATGCAGAGACCGCGGCTTCCTTGGCCGCCTCCATAGCTGCAATGGCTGGGGCGGGGGTTGACCTTTCCAGTGGATTTCGACCACCCGCAGGGTTCCACGATGGCCGAGAACCAGGCGACCAGAGCGATTGCGAGCGGGAACAGCGAGCGCTGGATCTGGAGGTGCAGCGCGTGATGGAGAGCACCGGGGACTCTCAGCTGGCCAAGATGGATCGCGAGGAGTTGACCTCACTGTTGGCAAGGTAAGGTATCCGCCGCCTCGAATTCTCAATGCTGTCCAAAAGTGCTTGACCGTAGCTTGTGTTGCATGCCTGTAGCGTCTACCTACCCCGAACTTGAACTTGAACTTGATCTTGAACTTGCACTTGAACTTGAATCAAAGCGAATACTAACCAGTACTGCGAACCTCTAGGTATCACGAGAAGAAGGAGCAGGAGCGCCAAGAATACACGATACACGTATAATAGTTATCACTGTACTTGCCAGTGACACTCAGAAAAAGACACACACGATGACATACGAACTGTGGCATTTAAATGCATTTAGCTAAGATCTTAAGTGTTGTTCAATAAGTGTACACTATTACCACGTTTATGTAGCCGAAGTTTGCAAATAAAATAATTTGTAAATAACTAAAACAGTTTGAATAGGGAATTTTAAATATATATTAATAAAGATATACTAAATATGAACTTCATTTTGCATTAATTTAATTTCAAACTGTAATAGATTGTTAAGTTTAATTAAGATACAAGATGTCTTTCTTGTTAAATTCACATTTCTTGTTCATCACGATTAATTTGTAGGCAGATAAAATCATAAAGCAGTGTTTATAAATGAGAAACAAAGTTAAACGCAAATAAGAAGGGCGCATAAACGTGGTATTTAAAGAAACTAGTTCGTAAGATGGCACACAAAGTTCTCGCACACTCGATCGAGCAAATTAAAGACTATATCTAGAGACTATATCTATAGAGATCTAAATGACTATTGAATACTGAAGCTGTCAACTGATGTTGCAAGCGATTTCTATTGATATTGAAACTGATAATCGTTACGAGACGAGTTGAACTGTATCTGCTAGCTAGTAATACTACCTATATATATATATATATAGACAAGCATATATTTAATTCAATTTGTTGTGATAAATTATAAAATGTAAAATGTTCTGAAGTACACGTTGATGCAAAAAACATGTCAGGTTAATGAACTGCATAACTCGATTGACACTTTCGGAGCACTCATAAATGCTGTTTATTTCATCGATGTCATTTTGGTTATATTTTTTCACCCCCAGGAGAGAGACTTTTTTCATTAATTTGTGTGTAAAATTGACAAAAATCTGTTACTGCATTTATTGGAAAAGTAATAATTATGGAATTTAATTAAAAGTAGATAATCAACAATTAAATTGTATTGCTACCATAGGTAAAATATATACATACAAAATACAACAACCGAAAATGCTGCAGAAACCGAAAACCAAATACGGCAAATTAATTAAATAAAAGAAGTGTAAAAATAAACAAAATCAAATCGTGGTAATTTCATTAAAACCAAATTTGCCCAATGCCAAACCGGCTGTTGGGCAAAAATGTTCCACTTATCTGGTCAGCATCCTATTTCCTACTTCCTCTCCCTGGCTCAGAGCTGTGCAAATATTTATGCAAGCAAATGAGAGCAAACCAAATCAATCAAATACAGTGCAGTCTAACCACAAGCCAGTGGTCGCCATCCAGACAAACTCCGCCATTCCATTTCGTCGAAAATCCGACTGGGAGATGGACTATATATATATAACAGGTGTATGGTATAGGGTATGGGGAAAACGCACGTCAGTTAGGCAATCAGTGGAAGTTGGAGTTGGAGTCGGAGTTGGCGATGGTCGCCGCAATGTGGCTTCAATTTCACTAGGTAAACTCAACCACAAGATGCCTTTGACAAACAGGCGTACGCATACCGCACACCAAAACACAAATACACTGGTAAAAAGACATGGAATAAAGGTCAATCATAGATTACTTAATGTCACAAAATGTCACCAAATAAAAGTATGGCTTAAATAAGTTCGGTTAACATTTTGCTTTGAGGTATTAAGTAAGTATAATTTATGCCTTACGAGTATCAATCTTTTATTTATAACATTTATCAAAACTCTGTCTCATACAGGGAGTTGAAACATAACATTTTTAATAATTTAAACTGTCCATTTGACTTTTAATCCCAGATTTTCTCAGGTGTAGAAACTCTCTTAGAGAGACATTAAACATGCATGGCATGATGCTGCACTGTTTACCAGCTGTTTGTTGCCGACTTGAAACTTTGTCAATTTTCACAAATGTTTCCAACTTTTTCGAAGTCATGTCAGTAAGGTAACATACAAGTCGTGTGTGTGTGTGTGTGTGCGTGGCATTGTGACACACAGTCAAATCTAATGGGATTACGAAAGAGTTGGGGCAATATGATAAAAAGGTGAAACATGGAAAATCATTGCCTGCATCTGAAGTTGCGTATACGCAACGTTGGCCACTCAACAATGAAAAAAAAATAGACTTTTAGGTGTAAGCTATTCGAGTTAAATTGGGGTAAGCTCTGGACTTTAAGAGGTATTGATTTGGCTTAAGTTAAATCCTTTTAAAAGTTTTTGTAAGAAAATGAAAGTTATATTTTACGTTAAGACTAAGCTCCTCTCCAATTTATAGAATAAATCTACTCAAAAAAACCTTACCTAAGGCTACGAGAATTAACAGAAAAATCATTTTGAGGACGCAGAACGACTTGTGCTACCAATATTTGCTCACTAACAATATCCAAACACTTAACTCCATGCCTAGATTGTTGAATCTAAGGCAAGTGGGAAAAGTTTTACTAATTAGCGTGAAGCCATTTGCAAAGTTTCCAATTCCAATGTATCGAACTGTTTATGGAGTATACACATTTCGTAGGCGTGTGTATTGGGAAAGGCAAAGTTTCGGGAGTTTCCCTTATTTTACAAGGACCTGCGTAATCAAAGCAGTAATTGACTGCATGTTGTGCCATTGTGCAAGTCTGCTTTTCTGTTCTGCTGTGCTCTGTTGCTATTAATTATGGCATGGCATGGCCTTACGCTCAGTGGGTCCGATTGCCATCTAATTAAGCATGAAAACACAGACCGCTCTCGTTAAGAGTGCACTAAGAAGTCAAAACGATCAAGAACTACGTAAGACCAGCTAAAAGGAGTATAATAACAATGTTCTTTGGGGGCTTAAGAAATATTTTATACAAACTTATGTAAACATCTGAAATTTCCTAACTTTTCTTAACTTATTGTCCACAGAAGTTCAGAAGTAAATAAAAAATAAAAGAGTAAAACCTCGTTTGTTAATTTTTTAACTAAAATTTTCTTTTATTGTAGAAATACCTGCATTTATAATTCTATGAATGTACTAAAGTATAAGTACTTTAGCAAGACTCTCTTCTACGTGTAGAAAGACATTTTACTGTGCTGGTTGAAAGTTGAAGTGCACTTAAGGCCCATGCAAGTTTTATTAGGCTTTTGCTTCATTTGCAACCGAATGCGAAAATCCCCCAAAAATCGATTTGGCAACCGCACTCCTGACAGTCACTTTGCGTTTGTCGTATTTAGGCTTAACGCTGACATGATTCTCGATTCTTGTCGAAGCGAAACTGAGAGACCTTTTGGCCGTGTCCTTATGCGTCGCTGGCTAAGGACTTGGCCAAAATCGATTTCAATTAGTTAAAGCTGCATGGCCGGCAAGTCTACAACAAATAAGCACAAAATTGCAAAGGGGATAAATTTGGCCAGCAAACACAATGGAAGGCAATCAGATTCTGGGGGCGCCACCACCACTCACAACAACAACAACAACAACAACAATAACAACGACAACCAGAGCAGATGCAACACCACCACCAGCAACAACAACAAGGACAATAATGCAATTTAAGCAAATTCAAAACCCAAAATTGCAAGAGGTTAGTAGTACAAGCAGCCCACTTGCTCCCATGTAGTTGTAATGCACACAGGAAGCACACACTGCAACACACACGCAGGATACTCATGCACTAAGGGAAAAGAAGAGTTAAATTTAACAAATTTAATTTGGATATATTGCGATCAGAACTCCATATATTTTTGGTTAAAGCTAGCGCCAAACCTTTTTATAATGTACTTTTTAAGACCTAAATAACTTAAGTCTATAAGGTGTTTGTCTCAGTGTAAAGGACTCATTCAGGATACACAAAAGCAGGACGCTAGGCAACCGCACTCCTGATGCACTTGCATTTAATAACGACCTCGATAGCCTGGCCTTCGGTGCTCAGCACTCAGAGAAAAACTGAATTTTTCCATTGAAAATGAAAATCTATAAAAATGAATCTTCATTGCCCGCTATCCCAATTAGTTTTTAAGCTAAGGTTTTACAAAGGATTATTTTATGAAAACCGATAAGAAATAAAACTACAAATATTTTCGGTCTCTAAACTAGTTTTTTTCATTGTGTATTTACCAGAGATAGTCCAGTTCGGTTGGCCTCCTGGACGCAGGACATTATCTACAAATGCCGGGCAAATGCAAATGTCCTTTGATGCATTTGCACATGGCGCCCAACTGTGCGACTCCACCCATCCACCCATCCGTCCTTTAATCCTCATTCCCCATCGAGTGCGTAGATTGAAATGCAGCCTGCTGCTGTCTAGTGCCTTTAATTAAAATTCTCAAATTACTAAAGGTAAACCCACTGCACGTCTTGTCATAAATTGCTGCAACTGTTTTAATACGAAATGACAGGACATTTCCTGGCCTTTTGCATTGTCGATGACGTCCATTTGATTTATGCCCGAAAGAAATTGCAAAATACATAGCCACATGACAATCCTTACTGTCTTAACCATAAATATTATTCGAGTTTTGAGCATATTTGATGTGCCCTCTTGCCATCGAAATAGAATTCACTGAACCCTAATGCAGGTTCACGAAGCTAATATGTTGTAATCGTATAATGAATTTAGGCAAACAACACTAAGAGAACTTTTGGTAAGTGTATTACATACAGATATAAGTTTTATATTAAAATATTCAATGAAGGTACAAGGGATAATTGCGATTCTTTGGGCCGTAAATGAGTCCGTTTTAAAGCAAACAGCAAAACGCATTCGAAGTCAAAGCTAACTTAACATAATGAGCAGGCGTGGACCGTGGAATCGGGATATTCTGCGGAATGAGAATCTGAATCAGAATCAGCTCTGAAGCTGCCACCACAGTTGCCGCCACAACCGCCGCCACAGAAATGCCAAACAGCTGCTGCCAAAGGCACTTGATGCTGGATTCTGGATGGTGGAGGCTTGTGGATGTGGATGGCTATGGCTATGGCAATGGAGATGGAGATGGAGCACCACGAGCCAAAGAGTTGACTGCCTCTGTGTGTGCATCCTTTATAAAGACAGGGCATAAAAAATGCAAAGAAGTGTTACAAATACAAACAGTCAGGGGAGCCAGACGGCCAGACAAACATACAGACGTCGGTTAGAGGGACGCACAGCCAAGTGCAATTCATGTGGGACTCACTTAAATAAAGTGCTTTTGCATTGCCTGGCTGACTGGCTGTCGGGATATGAATGCGGATGTGGATGCGGATGCGGATACGGATGCAGATGCGAATGCGAATGCGAATGCGGATGGTGATGCGAATGTGAATGCCGGATGCTGGCGCATCCCTGATTATTTGAATTATCACAGGTTTATCCACCCACACAGCGAGCAACATGTGCGGTGTTGGATTCATTATAATTCCTGGCACCGTTCAACTATTTAACACAAAAGCCTTTGTCGCACTCGCTTGGTCCTCGTTTAAGCATTCAATGGAATTAAACTGTTTCAAACGCCATAGAAAACAGAAAAACAGAGGATGCGACCCAGAGGCGTTTGCATGAAAGCTTTTTTAGGGCTCTTAAAAGTTTGTTTTGAAAGTTATTTTATTTTGGTTTATTTTATTTTGTGTGTGTGTAAGCCATAAAATACATTAATTCATGGCGATTTGGGGTAAGTAAACGTATTATTCTAAAATACTTTTTCATTCCTTTAAGCTGTTTATGCAAATGCTTTGAAAATTCTCTTTATCAATCATCAAAATAAATTACAAAATCTTAATTAACACCATGTTGATCCCTTTTGGCATACCAGCACTGCTTTGCGTGTCCTTCAGGAAGAACTCTCTCCAACCCTCCTCCCAAAAGCTTAGAATTGGTAATTTGTTCGAGCTCTATTTTTTGTGATGTCGCCCAACTTTTTGCTTTATGTCGTGCACTTTCCACCTCCTCTACTCAGGCCATTGTTTTTGCTCATTCGAACGTTGATCGGTTCCCAGTTCCATGTGGGTCCATCTTGTGTGCAGTTGTCATCGATGATGCCGCATCTGGGAGTCGTCTCGAATCGCCTGGGGCACATGGAAACCGAAACCGAAACCGATTCAACTGGAAATAAAGCCAATTGACTGTACAGCGACAAATTCAAATTGAAAACATTTATGCCAGCAGCT